GAAGGATTGCTTCCGGATTTATCGAGATCGAGAGTTTAAAGTCTCTATTTTCCTGCTATTTGAATTTACTACTTTTTTACCCTCATGATGATTGACGTTACTTTCATGGAGGGCATGCATGACAGCTGCCTTTCCTCAATTTACTTTCATCTCGTGGATATAATCCTTTTCCTCAGGATGACAGGCGAATAAAAAACAGCGACTGCCTTTTGTTTATCAAATTTCATAACAAATCATTGGAAATTTTTTAATTGACGAATTTCTTCCTTCATAAAGCGATTTTTCATCAATTCCACCATAAGTTATTAATAAAGTGAATTTGTTAGGGCGACTATAAGGGTGAGCCGAGAGAATGACCCTAACGGGATTCATTGGACACTTTTCTTTTTAAGTCCCTCCTTACACTTTTTTTTTACATACATGGTATTGTGCCTTGTCACGCCTTCGCAATGTTATTTATCGACGTGCTCATGTGGCGAGCTCTCTCCCTCATTTTCCTTGGATATTGATCCCAACTATCACTCAAAAAATCTAGAGTCACTGACTCATAATTAATGACCAGCATCACAAGACCATTGCCACACGGCTTAGATCACAAATTACCGATTATTCGAGGGCTAAATCTCATATTAAAAATCCTCATCAAGTGAAATACAGTCATTAATTCGCATTCCCACTAATTGCAGTGGTTGATTATCGTCATTGAGGAAATTAGAAAATTTGTGGGCAATTCCTTTATAAATAAAAAATTTATCGATTAATGCTTTTTTGGTAATTAATTGGCATTATGTTTATGAGTGAATGAAAATTATTGGTAAATCTCTGACTTTTTGCCAAAAAAAATTGGAAATTTTTCAGTCTTAAAGTGATAACTCTTATTGGAAATGCAGATTACATTGTGATTGAAATTTTGGAGTTGAGTACAATCCAATTATTTCTAAAATTAATGAACGAAAAACAGTTTATCCATCAGAGTTGGAAATTTCTTTCCCTTTCTAATGACGACCCCATAACTGACAATTTTCCAAGAGCATCGACCATAATTATACGTTTGTAAAAACCACAATTTCCCTTTCCCCTGGAAAACAACTAAAATTAATCTTCCACAGTTGAACCCACAGAGAGCAAGATAATGTGATCCCTTCCTTCTGCAATTTCTTCATATTTATCAATGGACACCTGAAGTTTGGCGATTCTAGAAATCGTGGATTCATGTACACTCTGTTTAGCGGAAGTGAGAGCTGAAGACTTCAACTCGGGTCATACCGTTTTCTTTAAATTGCAAGCAAATAAAAATAATTGAAGCATTTGTTCTTTAGTGAGTGTTTCTAATAAATAGTCAGCATTAGTTGCTACTCGGAATAAAGCGGAAGCGAAATTTCCAACAAAGTTGAGTAATTTAAAATTCGCCTACTCACCAAGCATTTATAAAATAGAGCTATTAACTTTTAAGTTGCTTCGTAGAGACTGGTGATGACTGACGATGAGTGCAACGAGGAAATCCTTAATGTCTGATGGAAAAGTTGAATAAATGGAGTCACATATATACGTGTCCTTAATAATACTGCAATCAACATCCCTATAGGGCAGATCAGATTAAAATACTCGTGACATTGACGTTAAGAACTCCCTTGTATCATTAGCATCAGTTGGTTTGACCGATGGTATAAGAGAGAGACAAAAGGAGGGAATATCCCTGACTCACTTGGTCCCAATGTTTTCCTGTGCATTTGTGCCTGCCGGAAGCATTATCTTATATTCTCTTATTCACCGAGGGAGGCTTATCTTACCTAGGATCCACCTTTCCTTCTTCAACACTCCTACCAAGATCATCTGCAAAACGTCTGCTAACGTCCGGTTTACCCATTCTCCTTTTGTACCTTTCTTATTAAACTCCATTGCCTTCGATTCCCTCTCTAATTTTTCTTTCGACAATATTAAGTCTCTGGTTCTCCCAATTTGTCATGGGTGAATTGAATGTCATAATTCGATTTTTGGGCTCAGACAAAACCTACATATAGTGATACCAAATATTTACTCAATTCATCCGTTACATTCCGGGTTCTTCAGCGTACTCAATTAATTTCACGGCTGGCAATCACCTATACAGATTATATGAAATTGAAGAAGGGAAAAAAAATTAAATTTCGACATTATGTTTCATCCATCGCTAATCCGTCATGACACATTTCCATGTCTGCAGAGAGGTCAACCACCCATATTTTCACCTCAATATTCTCACTCAATCAATTGGCTATACACTCAGAAAAAAAAGACAATTTTTTGAGAAAGGCGTTTTTGAATGAAAAAACTCCCTCAATTTTAGTCAAGAGATTTTGCACTTCTCCGAAAAATGATAAGCTATGAATTGACAACAAAAAGGCGATTTGTTTCAAGTATAATTTATATTTAATTAATTTTTTTTTCATAGAATCTATATACTAAAGCTGTAGTATTTGCTGACTCATCTTGATCAACACTGATGGTATTTACATTGGAGGCGAATGAAAGGATAACTTCCAAACAGTTATCAACGAGTAGATCAATTGTTGCCGTCCTACCCTCATTTAAACCTGAAATTATTATTCATCGCTTAAAATTTCAGTAGACAGGATGTTCGGAAGAGATGTAATCGTAGCGTGTCCCTCTCTTTTTGCCTCCGAATTCCGAGTGCCTCGATGGGTAACAGGAAAAAAAGTGTTAATTCCTGTCGACTTTCGCTCTAGCAAATCCAAACGACGAGAGAGAAGATAATCTGTTTTTATTTAGAAATGTGCTAAACATCGAAGTAAATATTATCGCCTAATCTGAAATGTCCATCACTTTCGAGACATTGGGGATGAGGATGGCTTAAACACTTGGATAAATCCTCCAGGAAATGCTATCGCCGATCTTATGATTTATTTATTTATTTATTCAACATTTACTTGCCGTGCGGGAGTTCGACCGTTAATGTTTGGAGACAGGCTCTCGTCAAATTATATTTCATATATTTATTTGCATTTATGGAGAATGTTTTTGAAAAATACAAGTGAAATATATACTTTATATATTTTTAACTTAACGATCTACCCAATAGAATTTCCAGGACTTTTTGTGCTTCTCAAAATTGTTAATCCTTTCGAACGAATTTCGAAATTATCTTTGCACACGTGTGTTTATTCCACAATTACTGTTGAGTGATGATGTAATTGAAGGTTTTTTTTTTCGCCCTGGATCTTTTTGTCACTTAAAACTAATTAGTTCGTGGAAGGGATGGCCCGATAGTTTACTAATGACTCGCAAAAAAACACATGAAAAACTTTTTCGCCTAATTGGATAATTATTCCTGTACAATTTATTCAATGTAGATTATTTGGCATTCCCGCCACAATAATTTAGAGAAAATATATAAGATATAAATATATATATATATAATGCTGCATATTGCACTGCATCAAACCGATAAATATTAATTGAACCATGCATGAAGCTTTAACCGATGATTATCATTATCGCAATCAACTTTTACCAACACATGAAACGAGAAAACAATATGCCATTAACTTAATGACTGGTTTATTCTATATAAGCACTGGCAAACAATTTTTCGTTGGGCGAAAAAAAAAGAATTGCACAAGTACTACTTACGGTTTCTCTTAGTGGAATCATTGGAGGGAAAAAAGATAGGGAGATTGGAAAAGACGATTACAATGGTGTAAATTTTCAATATCGGAATGAAAAGATATCTATGGGCATATTTTACACTAGGTCTCTAATTATTCAAAGTGAAACGTTCAGTCTTTTATCCTCATCAACGTGAAGTGTAAAAAAGGCAATGTACTAATGACTCTGAAAATTTCTCCGTAAATACATCAGCCTCTCGAGCTTGTTGCTTCTACCGAAAACACCTCGACCCCATTATCCTAATGAACAATTGCTATCCCAACGGTAAATTTCTCCACAATTAAACATACCAACAATGTAACTCCCGTGTGATTGATAAAAAGAAAATGATTGCACTGAAATGATTTATTTGTGAGATGCATTAATCAATGCAATTATTTTTTCGTGAAGAAATGAAAAGAATTTTGAGAGAATTTCAGAGTACTTTCAATGGCTCGTTCCACTTGAAATGCAGCGAAATGAAAAAATAAGACAGCAATGGAAAACCAATTTGTCCAGTAACTCGTGTGAAGCCATCAATCATAAATCGTATGATATAGCACATCACAGAGGACTCTTCTCATTCTTATGCCCACCCTCTTCCCACGCATCAATCGACCCAATCCTCCCGGATCATCTCCAACAGCACCAAGAAGACACATAACTAACTTAAAGCGTGGGCATATATATCCTGATATCGTCGTCTGACGTACCGCAATACTACATTTCAACTCCCCAACAAGCTAAATAAAATAACCCAGCATAATGCACAATGTATGTCCCTCCAAACTGTTGTCTCACGTGTGCCTGCACTTTCAACTTGTGGTTTGGAGGGAAAAAAAGTAGAAGAAGAAAAAGCTGGCATGTAGGAAAGTAATGAAAACGATATCGTGCAACGACCTCCTCACTTTACCCTTTCTTTTTCTCTCTTCGCCCTTTCATTTTTTCCTTTTTTTTTGTTTATTTTCACGGTAAAAGGGCGAGAGAGAAGGAGTGGGACATGTAGGCTCATGAGAAAGGCACGGGGGAGTTAAAGATCACGATTGTACAAATCGATCGGTCGGCATGCTTACGAGAAGCTCATGTATACCTTTATTTTTTACTAGAGCGGAAATTGTTCCATTACTCCTGAAAAATCGACCGGTGGGTAATTAAAGTCGAGAAAAAAGAAAGATGGGGAAAGGGATTCATGTGTGTCTGGAGTTGCACTCATTGAACAACTCGGAAAACTCTTGAACTGATTTGACTCCTAAATACAAAATAAAATGAATTGAATGAAAATAATGAATTAGGTAATATGACTTGGTCAGTTGAAGATGATAAATTTAATGGTGATGTTAATGTTTTGTTTTCAGGTCCTGCAGAAAGACATCGAGGCACATGGTCGTATCGTAAGTTCAGTGGTGAAGCTGAGTGAGCGTGTTTTGAAACAGCAGGAGAGTGGTGAAGTTAATCAAGATAAGGAATCATCAAAAAATTGGCAAAACCGTGAGGTTGTTCAGCCGATCCGAGTGGCAAGTTCCTTGGAGAGACGTTGGCATCTTTTATTTCTTCGGGCACTCGAATGGCAGTGTCACATTGAGACACTAGCAACTCGCCTCTGTAATAAGGTAATAGCCAATTATATCTTTTTATCAGGCATCTTGCTACTGCTGCATACTCTTCTGTTAGGCCAGTTTTACGCTTGTCTCTACACCATATATTATCCTCTGCAAACTCATCTATTTATCATTTTGTTTTTCGAAAAATTTTACATATCTGTACTGATTCTATTAAATTCACATTAAAAATTTGTTTCGTATAAACATGGCAGTTTTAATTTGTGGTATCAGAAATATGTGGAAAGATGTGGGTAAAAAAAAATTGTAATTGAAATATTTTTTCCAAATTTTCAAAAAATTTTTGGAAAACATTTCAGAATTTTTTTTTATTTTTTTTTTAAATCGGGATACAGAACAGTTATATTTTTGGGAAATTTTTTGAAAAATTAATCGTTAACACGTAGCGTATATTTTAAAACCAAAATTTTTCAATACCTTTCCCAAAAATAAAATTGTTTCATAAAAAAAATATTCCGATTAGAATTTTTTTTTTACCCAGGCATTAACTGATTCGTCAATGGAGAATTGTACCAAAATTTCATGCCACTTTATTGTTGCTAAAAATTTCGAGTTTTTTCAATTGAAATGAAAAATGCAATTGTCGTGAGACTTCAATGATTTATTTGAAACTTGAATATTCAATTCAGTAAAGAATTGGGAATTGAGACAAGAGACCTAGGACAGCTTCTATTCCGCATGGAAATGAGTATTGAGGAAGTCAAATATAGAAAGCCATCAGGTATATGCATACAGGGGAGTACAAAATTAACCACATGCGATATTCCTCATATATAGTCCTTTTGGCTTTCAACGCGAAATTGTCGGAGGACTCTTATGCAGACTTTTCTCCAGCACAAAATCACGTGCTCATGATTCATGATTCATGAATCATTGATGGAGGAAGTGGAGCATAACTGAGTCTCAAGCACACTATATCCTAGTGATCACTTTAATTTATTCCCTTGGGACTCGTCGCTGATACATATCTATATAGATATTTTTTTTTCCCCCATTCAAATTGTACAATTTTCTCATTACAACTGTCGAGTGTGTTGGGCTCGTATAAACACAGGATGGAGGGCCTACAAGTTGTGTATCGATCGTGTGGTACCTTAATGCCTTCCCCAGAGGTATTGTCATAAAAAATGTATGTTGCAACGTTATATTACCTTTCTAGGAACGTCAATATTACCTTCACTCCTACGTCATTTAGACAACTCACATAATTTGTGCATACCCCTTACTCGAAGTTACACAGCATTTAAGAGAAATATTTGCCATTTTTTGTTTTCCAGTTCTTGACGTCCACTTATTATCTTTCTTTTCCATCGTTCGACGTACTAATCACACCTGCGTGTGAAATTCAACTTAAGAAATCAGAGTTACTGCACCACCAAATTAAAAGGTTGTTTTCCTCAACTAAGGGTTTAATGGCTCCAGATGAAATTTATAGATCACCCAGACATGCCAATAAACAACTTGCTCTTTTCCTTTTGACTTTCATTTTTCCGTTGATTATATGAATATCATTGAAAAAATTAAGAAAAATTACAATGAAAATTATTGATTCAAGAGTTGATAGAAGTTAAGTCCTCGATTCGGCTGGAATAAAAAATTTTCGATTTATTTCTGGAAAACTTTGCAGAAAATTTTTTTTTCCCGGGAAACTTTCTTCGATTTCATTAAAAAAATAAACCCGGTAATTACCAAAACAGATATATACACCCTAGATGTAACGACTACCGATGAATGATGTGCGATGAAATACTATTATCTATTAGCGGTTATCATGCTAGATAGCGATGAGGATTTCATGCGATTTCCCTTTTAGAAGTTATCATGAGAGGAAAGTACAGACTGACGTGCGTTTAATTATCCAACAGTAAAATAATTTACTCAAAGTCAACCGGTTGTAGATGTTTGCACCCTTTTGTGTAAAGAGGTTGCATTATGATAAGCAACAGCTGCACCGCACTTGTTCCTTGATTATTCGTCATCGGAACATAAACCAATGCCAGGTTTAAATTTATTCAGTAGAAAAAGAAGGACTATTGCAAGGGTTATCGGGTTGAGCCAAATGGTTAGTTTACCAAGTGTAACTCAAGTGTTTCCTCGGTCTCTCCTCACAATTCCAAGTGTTACGTTCTCGTTAATTACTTGGAATACTGTACAGACATTCTTCTTCCTTTCTCTCTCTCTTGTTCACTTGAAATAATTATCAGTCTCGGAGGAATGACAACGTGTCTCGTCCGGTTCAAAACAATGAGTATGAACAAAGCTGTAGCGGTGAGACAACCGGAAGTAATCCATTGATTTTCATGAACCGGAATTGCACAGCTCTACCGTCAGACAATGACACGATAAAAATTATTTCCAAAGGTTTTTGCATTCATGGGGTATTAATTATCGTCGCGATTCATTTCCATAAATGTGACATTCCATTTGATAAATCAATTATTAAGATGAACTTAAGATGAAAAAAAATTCATTAGGTTTGAGTTGACGGATTTTTAGAAAAGCAGAAGTGAAACATTTATTTTAAAAATGGTTTTTTCCTTTTTGGTTTTATTGTGGTAAAATGTGGGTTTTCGTGATAAACCGGCGAATCCTCGCAGGTGTTCTGTGGTTATTACCAATATTACGCGGATTTTTGTTCACCAACAAACTACCTGGCGATGGCATTTAACCGCAAAAATCCACTGGCCACAAAATATTCACCAGCGCCCTTAATTCCACGCAAGGATGATCATTAGCTATCGCCTTTCTCGGGGAATCTTCCCTTTTTGCTTCTGTTTTTCATGCCCCTCCGAACATGAGACGAGGACAAGAGAAAAAACAGGAAAAATATGTGAAACGCCGTAATTTTTTTTTGGTAATGTGCTGAAAGGCAGGCCGAAACTTGCTTTAAAAATGATAAACCATTGAGAAAATAAATTGTCCATTTATTTTTGAATTTGGCAAAATTATTGCTTGAATTTTCGGCATTTTCATGAAAATGAAGAATTACCAGAATTAGGTGTGAAAAATTATACTTTTCCAACAGCGCACCTAGCTTTGGCATTTCACTCTCATTTGTAACGATGAGTTGTTAATTTGATGAATATGAAAAAGCAGTTGTAATGAAGGTTCAATATTGCCCCCCGCAGTCTAGAAGTGGCGGGGCGGATAATATTATAGGGTGAAGGGGAGGTGTGAGGTGGGGTTCTGAAAGAGAAAATGATATGGTCACCCCTTGGCAAAAGCCAGGTGACGTGCTCTGCTCCAATGACCATTGGCTACCCAAAAATACCACAACCTGCATTGGGGGTCTGCATACCAAAATTGTTCGGTAAATTATCCCATAAAGAACCGTTGGACAATATCATTATATTCCGACCCAATTTCTATAAAAAGGAAAAGAGCAATGGGGGAGGAAAAAAAAATGGAGTGATAAAGAAGCGTCCTACTTGTAATTCTCACGGACTGATCGTCTTCAATGCTCACCTCGGTTGGCATTCCCCGAAGCAAAACGCTTCGTTTCACTACCCGGTGAGACTTTGCTCCAATTTCCGACTAACGGACATGATTATTTTGCACTCCTTGCACTCCTGACTTGTCAAGAAAATGCCTAAAGTACCAACTTTTATTGGAATTCAAACGGGATATTTCACGTCACTTTTGACGAACTCGGAGAATCGTCGGCCTCATTTTATCCTCCCCTGGTGTCAACAAATCATGAGGGAAAGTTACTTTTTTGGTTGCTGCAACAATAAATGGCTGATTGAGAGGTGGTTCTTAAGCCTCAGCCCAACCATTGTAGACACATCGGTAGAATCTCGTCGAAAGATATTGATGTACTCCCCGAAAGTAGTGGTTAAAGTTAGGATAGGACACAACGGATAGGTTCAAGGTTCGATTCCTGGCCAGGATAGAATGATGAGATCTAACCAGCTTTAAAAATTCCTGATCAATCGTCACATAGTCTCATCTGACAATTAATAAAAAAATATTTCAATCTTCAATGTTTCAATTTCATAAATAAAATCGATTAATTTGCCCTAATGATGATTAAAAAAAAATAGTGGTGTGCATCACCAGCCGGTAGCATTGACAAATTTAATTCCGTGTCCCCTAGTGTCATTGAACGAGTGGTACCATTGGTTGCCATGGCATTGCCACACGCAGTACTTCCGTTTTTTTTCCCTTTATCTATTATTTTTCCTTTGAAAAATGTGATCCAAATGCTTTTGTGCGTTCTCTACACGTAGAGAATCCCATACAATTCTCATTTCTTCATTCCATTATTTACTGTGGATATCGTTTCTCATTCTGAGAAGATTAAGATGTATAAAAATTCAATTAAATTCACTGCACTTTTCACATGTAATAAATTCATGCAATAAAATTCTCAACTCTGTTTAATGAGTCATTTCAAATGGTATAAAACTATTTTTGTTGAAATACTTCTTGAATATTTTTTTATTTATTTTCTATCGTACCACCTGCTGTCCCTCATTCGTGGAAAAGGGTAGAGACCAGTACTTTCAAGTTAAAGCTATTAAATTTATTCTAAAATTGGAAATGTCCTCAACATATTACATTATTTATTAAAGGTTTTATAACACCAGGCAGGTAAGAAAATATTTGTCATTTTTCGGGGTTGAGCTCAGGTAAATTGACAAATCGGAATTTACTGATTTTTTTTTCATATGATAATCCGAGGATTTTACAGCCTTCACAAGTGCTCGTAAATGCTCTCTAATCCTTCAAGCTTAGGCGAGTGACTATTGTTTTCAAACCATAACCGGAAACAACGTTGACGCATTATTTCAGTTTAAATTTCCAAACGCCAAGGGAGAATAAGGGGAATTACAGCTTGTAGACCGCACATAACGCGCGCTATTTAAAAAAAAACATGACAAGACAAAATATATTAGTTCTGCCTTTTTTCAAAAAATGGATTTTCTACTGAATTTATAATGACCATTGTTTATTTAATAAATGGTAATAATCTGTTTGTTTGTATTAATGAGTGATTACCCTTGAAAACTCGTAAAGTCCCAGGTTTTACTACAAAACCCGAAAAGTGGTGTCTTTTAATTTTTCTCAACTGTAATTTTTTACTTTTAGTAACGATTAGGCTATGCCGGTTGCGTGATTCGAGGTGAAAAGTCCTAAAGTTTATTCTCAAGAAATAAAAAAACGGAAGATATTAAACTGTAATTGGAGCACTGCGATTATCTCGTAAACGAAACTAAAAAAAAAATAATTTTCTTTCATGCAAATATGTCCAGAAGACGTATCTCATTATAAAAAAAAAATTATTTTACTAGTAATGTATAGTTTTTGTGTAACTTTATTGTTTGACATCTAGGATTTGTTTCCATTGAATTTCTATTATGAAATATGTCTAGAAGCTCTTTCCACTCTTTCATTATTCGTCGTAGCATTTTTTTTTTCAACCAGTTAAAGGGATACGCCTCCGTAGAAACCACGAAAGTACAGAGAATAGGGTGATCATGAACGCTCATTACGTTCCTAGAAGGCCGTGCCACCGCAGCTGGAAACACCAGCATTTGTTGGGGAAACTTGGCACGAGTTGAATAATCATTCTTTTTTAGGCTTCTATAAAGTATAACCCCGGGTGGTATTAACCCCAGTCATAATTTCCGCTTCGAGGTTCTTGGATTACAGCGACAGTTGCTGGTGGATTAAACATCGGTGCACGCTTTGCACACTTCATCATGCGATTAAAGTCAGCCCCATCATTTTTTCATTACATTATTTGGCAATTTAACTTTTTCTTGAGTTGTCATGATTACCTCAAGGATTTAGTCTCGTGCAAACTTAATAATCCGCGTAAGAGGTCATTGGCAATGAGAGTGTACACTGTACGCCCTGGAGGGGCTAGAAGTTTTTCGTACCTGTTGACAGTGTTGAGAATAGTTGAAACCATTTACCCATCATATACCCACCCCTTAACATTGTCTCTAGGTAATAAATGTCGGTCACAATCCATCCCATTGGTCATTCACCTCGAAATGCTGACCATTCGTGGATCCATAAATTGACTGAGCCACAAGAAATACTTTCAGTTACTTTCCAAGCTTGTAAACGAGAACACCAATCTCTCTTAATAAAAATCATTTCTCCAAAAATATTTCCTCACTCTGGATTACTTGTCGTGATAGCAATGATATCAATGGTTTGTATTTGAAGTTTGTTTAAAAGTAGTTATAAAGGTGCGACAAGGTTGAATAATTGGTCAAGTAAAGTAATAATGGTTATTATTGGATATTTTGCAGAGTGTGGTGTCATGCCGTTGCAGCAGTGACAGTGACGAGGAACCGGTGACCAAGCAGCCGAGATTGAGCCGGAGGCATTCTCGTGAATCCGGAAGAGAAAATACTGGACAATCTGGGCGTGCGGCTCCTCCAAAGCGGTTCACTTCCTCCAAACATCGTAATCGTGAACCTGGAGTATCGTCTAGCTGTGCCTCTGACAGCGATATGTCCTCTGGATATCATCACAACGAGGACGAATCATATTTCGAAGTAAATTTCATTTGACTTTTTTTATTTTCACCTTTCATAAGATTAATTAAAAATTTGGCTTGCAACACCAAATGATTAATAATTCAATTGAATAGTTAACAATAGAAAGAGTCTGATCGTTGGCGTTTTCTCAATTTTTATCGAGTTTTATTTATGTGAAATACCTCCATGAAAGTCAAGCAAGAAGAGTTAATCACCGAGCAATGTTGTGTTTTTCCTGGTTATAACAGGACGATCTGGAGCAGCTTTGCGTGACTGAAACGAAGAGCAAGGTCTCCCGAGGCGGAGAAAAACGGGATACCGCCGTACAGGGTGATCAAGGTGAGGAAGGTGATATAGAAGAAGGTGAAGCTAGTGACGACGAGATGCCACCGACACTCGATCCAGCGATGGGTTCAGTATCAGCCGATGAGGTAGACGGCACACCCTCCAGACACAATGCAAGTTCATCACGTCTCAAGGACACACCAAAGCGACGAAGAACATTCGATGAGAGCTCCATTTTCAATACATCCGACAGAAAGTCCAAAAATTGTGCAACATTTTACTTCAAACATCGTGACACCGACTCTGAGGCTGATTGTGCAACTCAAGATAGCGAAATTCAGAATGGAATTGATGATTCTTCAGAGGAAGAGTGGACTTACACAGCATCACCAACAGATCACTGCGACACTCAGTGTGAGCAAATAAAAACAAATGTTGTTGTGAGATTGGATTTTGGAGAATCAGCACAAATTGAAAGAGTCGATCACGCCGAATTCAAGAGGGATAATGTCAAGAACACCATTGAGGAGATGAGAATTCCTGAGGAGGAGGAAGATCTCGTGCGAACTAGGGAGGATAATGGCGACAGTGGTGATGAGACCAAGAATGATATTCAGAAGTTAATTTTGGAAGTGGAGAAGCTTGTCAGTGAGGAGGGGAGAAAAGGCATTTCAGCCAATCTCACGCCACTTATTTTGAATGACCAGGGACAAACTAACTACAGGGCTAAGTATGCCAGGATTAAGGAATGGCTCAAGCTCAACTCCGCTCACAATCTTGAGGACAGATCCAGCTCGCAGGTAAATCCTTTAATCCACTTGTTAAATCCAAACTAAACAATTATGCATCTGTTTTTCGAGTGAAAAAAGATGGAGATCTATCAGGATAATGACAATAATCTTCCTTGCTCTGATACTTTCTGAGAAAAGGTGTTCCCATTTTATTTTTTATTTAACTTATTATTTCGGAGAAATGAAATCACGAATAAGCAGTTGTCTATTATTTAAAGAGAACTTTAACCTCTTCAATGAAAATTGATGAATGACGAATGTTTTTATAATTTTTAATAGAGCTGGCAACCTCTGGACAGCTGTGACGCGAGTGGTGAATACACGACCGGTGAGTCTGATGTTGAAAAACAATCAGTATCCTCTGAGGATCTTCACAGCAGTATTGCAACGTATCGTCGTTGCGAAGGTGGACTTGGCTGTGTGTCCCAGGCTGTTTCCCAGGAGATATTTAATGATAATGAAAAAACTCTTGTAAATGAGGCTAACAATCATGCTGATGGTACACCAAAAGTCGTTATGAGGACAAAGAGGAAGTCAGATGGCAAACGACCGTGGAGTGTTTCCTGTGTATTTGGACAATTGAATACTAACAATGACTCGGCCATTTCACAATTCTCTATTTCGGAAACGGCACTCCATCAATTGGTCTCATCGACACCAACCAAAGCTGTGTCCTTGGATGCAACGTAAGTATAATAATAATGATACTGGAGTTCATTCAAGTCGACTTATGGCGGAATAAGTCAATTTATTCCGATCGATATATTTTTTTTTTTATACCACAACCAATTGACTTATTCCGCTTTTTCATCCAATAAAAGTATAATTATTTATTTTCACTCAGATCATTTCCTGGGGATATGCAATAGAATATGTTAATAAATGATTTTCGAAAAAAAAAGAGCATCTCATCACCCTTTAGCACTTGGCTACAGGAATAATAATGAAATTACAATAAGAAACACGGAAATAATCATGAAAAAATTCTATTAAAATTCTTACAACGTGGATACACAGTTTTTGTTACACAAAAAAATCAATCAACTTCTTATTAATTTTTTTTTCAAACTATTTTCTTAAGTGGCTCACGTGCTCCTTTCAACAACTCAACATTGACCTTGCTAGAGGAGAATGGACGAGTGGTCCGAAACAGTTCGATGAGGAAGAAGAAGAGTCGACTACGCAAAAAGACGCTGGTAAGAGAATGACTGAATAAAAGAGCGATAATTGAATTGAGATGAATTTATCGAATAAAAACGGAGGTAACATAATTTTTATTTCTGTTAACAGAGTCGTAAGAGTGAATCAGGCTCTGACGGGATGAATGCAAATCATTCGGGTGGAAGTGACGCGAGTTCAACTCATCAGCGCATGAATGTTAGAAAATCACTGGATAGTCGTACGAGATTGATGCCTAAAGATTGCCACAAGTGCATTGTCTCGTATGTTACTTACGGTTCGACAATTTCATGTAATTTACACCACGAAACAACGGAAAGAGTAATTCTCACTGATCCCCCGCCATCCATCAAACTCACCTGTTGCACACCAGAGCCCTCGTCAGTTGACACACAGGAGAACAATCGGGCACATAGAAATTACGAGGATAATCTGATTGACACTGTTTTCAAGAGGAATGAGCTCGTTAGCCCCATCAATGGAGACAGTGATATTGAAAAGAATAGCCTTGAGAATAATTCATTCTCAGAGCAGGCTTGGGATAGTTATCAGGAGAAGTACATGAGTGAGCCGTACAGTGAAGCCGCTGATGTCGAGACTGCGAGGAAACTTCTCGAATTTGGTGATGATTATAGGAATTTTTTGGACAGCCAGTCAGACTGCGCGTCTAGTCTGGGCGCTGTGAGGAGCTGTTCGTCACCAATTGCTGCCAGTAGACTTCATTCTGTAAGATTTATGGCATTTTTTAATTTATTGGGTTGAAGAGAAGAAGATTGGATGGAAATTGTTGTTGTATTATTATTATTTTTTGAGGCCAGTTTTGTTTATCGGGCAATTTTATATTTTAGCAGGATTTGAGAGATTCATCTGAGGACAGTGACAGTGATGCAGAGGAGCTGCGGAGAGTCGTTGATAAGTCCTACAAAAAGTTACTAGTCATGGAGAGCCACTTTGCTCGTGCCAATGGCCTCAGGGCAACTAAAGACAATGTACGTATAGATGTGAAGCGTGTTGTCTCATCTCCAAGTCCCTTTGGTCTCATTGTTGTTAATCAGGCTCAGAAAACTAAAAATGCATATGGATCATTTTTGGAATTTTTCATTCATTGCATAAAAAAAAGTATTATGGTTGTGACAAGACGAGCTTCTGATTTATTCTCTTGGATCTGTGACAGAGTTAAAAACTTTAAAATTCGTTTTTGTTAGTTGTAAGTAAAGGACAAAATGTTTTCTTTCATGGAATAAAGTGTTGAGGTAATTGAATTTGGAGTTATCGTATAGTTGAATAAATGTTGTACAAAGGTTTGAACAGTTTTTGAATTGAATTGTTTTGTTAAAGTTGTGATACCACCGATGCTGAAAGTTATGATACAGTAACAATCAGATTTTTTCTGGAAAATACAGGGTGCCCCATTGATGCATGCATTTTTTTAAGCTTTCAAGGTCGTGCTTGCAAGCTGCAAGTGCAAGCTACACAATTGCAAGCAATCGCCTTCTACACTTGTATGAAATTTCTTTTTCTTGCTGAATGATTTTCAAACACCAAATTATCCATGTGAATTCCTTTGATTCTCGAAAAATGAGTTTTCGTATCAAATTAAAGATGAAGAGAAAAATTATCGAGAAAAATTGTTTCAAATGAGACACCCTATATAATAAAGCGTTGAAAGATAACGAGCTTGCATGGCTCGAGTGATTTTGAATTTTTTTTCCAATAAATTCTGTTCCCGCTATGAAAATAAATGAATGAATTTCTCTCCACGAGAACATGTGGTTTATCATGTGTTAATATTGATTGACAATTAATATTCAATTGATGTTTCATGAATTAAACATATGACTGATTATGCGATGAGAGTTAACAGGAAAATTGTCTGTACATGAGATTTTTTTTTTCGTTATTGAGTCACATGACGGGAGAAATAATTACGGAAAATATACCAGCCCGCAAAAGAGCGTAAATGCTAGATCAGGAACGGGAAAATCGTCGGAAGTTGATGAGTAATTATAAAGAATGGCAAATTTCCGTTTGCATTAAACGGAATAAATCCCGTCTTTGCGGTTAATTTTCCCGTTCGGAGATAATAATAAAAATGGATGCTCATTTGAAGAACACTTGTATTCATCTGAACTATTTAAATCGATTCATTAAGATAGAGATTACCGTGATTTATTATTTGAACCGTGCAAAACTGACCTACCATATTCTCGCGGAATGATCAATGATTGGAAAAATTGAGCAATTCTGAATTGATGCAATAATTATTGGGCAATTTATTTTCAATAAAAACTTTAATGGAGTCTGGAGCAATATTCTATTGTCGAAACCTTGATTTTTGGGAAATCCTTTTTCCGTACTTTTTCTGGAATTAGTACTTTGAAAAAAATTTGAAAATCATTACGGAAAAAAAACCCATCTCAACAGCCCGGAAATATATTATTTCCTATAAAAAGCTGGAAAAAATGTGAGAAATGAAATAACAAAGAATATAGTTAACGAAGGGAAAAAAAAATTTTTTTTATAAAACTAACAAGGAACACTACATCCGTGTTTCCTTTTTATTGCTCTCCCCCTCCTCCTTTCTATCTCCCAAGGAATCAACAATTGCACAATTGCTTTTCATTACTTGTCATAAACTGCTGATGATCGTAATAAACATTCGCAAAAAGCGACAATTCTCCAAAAATAAAAATGAAAATGATAAAAACTATTTCTATAATTTTAATACCACAATGGGAAGCAGATCCAATAAATTCACTTGATACATTATAATTTAGTAATGATAATAATAATGATGATGATTATGCTGATGTTAAATATTAAATATATGAAAATTTGTTGCAGATGGAAGTGGAATGCGTTTGCAAGGAGAACATTCGAAGTCTGCAGGCATTAGTAGAGCCAGACTGTCAGAGAGGAGAAAAGAGTGTGAAGCAAGTGCGAGGTAAGTACGTCAACCTAGGCATATGTACATCGACATTGACCTCACTATCATGCACCACTGCCGTATTGGTGACCGCATTAAGCGCAATCTTGTTCCTCTTCACGTCCTGACACGGTACGAGGATGCAACTCCATAATCCGTTGAAGAAAAATCCATAAAAAATCAAATACACAAAAAAAAAGAATCTATATTGCTAGAACGGTTGAACTCTACTATTTCCAAAACGAATGCCTCATTATTTTTTTCTTTTTACTCATTTCACTCTATTTCTTTGAATAATTTGTTTAAATGGAATTCATTAACACTTCATGCACTAGATTTCATTTTATTCATAACTCACTCATTCAGTAGTTTTTAATGGGAATTATTCTTTTTGATTCTGTAGATAATGTATTTGATTATCATTAATAAATATCGCTTTTTAGCAAATATTTCACTGATTAGTATTTATAAGTTCATGCATGCACTCACGCATTATTTACCTCTTCATATTACTCAAACTCATCACGCACGGTCTCTTCAACTGCTTTCATACTTTCAATTTTATGCATTCCCTTCTAATTTACCCGTTTCTCTCAAACATTTTATCTCTCGTATTTAGTACTCGATACCTGCCAATGAATTCACGAAAGTATTTGATTGCAAAATCTCGTATAATTCGTTACTTTACATATGCAGGCGGATAAAATTAACATTGCTGATACATGTGATCACAATAATTCTCTGATAATGAAAGTTTTAATAACTCAGCCATGAAAAATCATAATTAATTACTGATTACTGACATCAATTTTTTATTGATGGAGTAACTTGAAAAAGTAAAAGAAATAAACAGTAGATCTCCTTTGTTCTCAATCTCAATGATCCAACTTTCCGGTAATATTGACAATTACTCTGGCACCTATTAGAGCTGGGGTGTTCCCGATGAAATGTTGAATCAATTAACCGCTGCAATGGAGGAGAAAAGAAAATGAAATGAAAATTAATGGCGTAGGTGGTTGATCGAGGCAGAGTCTCGACAAACGATCGAGCTGGTGTCCGCCTTCGAGTCACTGGTGCTCTACGCCTTTCCTCAGTCTTTCAACAAACCGAGTCAGGGGCACAGTTGTACGCGTTCTCATCATTAAATTAAATCCATTGAATCCTCTGTGTTGTCATTGTCATTCTGTCCCCCAAAAATTGATAAAAAATAAATAATAGTCCCAGTGACATTTGATAAAAAACCTCAATCCAAGAACGAACGTTTAAAAAGTTTTCTCATCTCATGGCGATTTCAGTGAGTTGAAGATTTTTTTGGAGACCAAAATGTCAAGTGCCTTCATTAATTATTAGATGTTATTAATTGGCAATGCGTGTTGAAGTTGTTCAAACGATGTTTGTGCAAACAGACATCACCGGTGAAGATCTTTCTGACGATAGATTCATCATTAATAGAGGTACACCTACTGTTGAAATTTCTTTTTCATTTCATTGGGGTTAATGACACTTTGATAACTAAAAAGTTTCTCCAGACAACGGGACCTCTTGAGACCTTGGTTCACTGACCTGAAGCTCTTGTTCTTGTTCTTGTTCTTGTTTTTGTTTTTGTTCTTGTTCCTATTCTTATATTATTTCCATTTTCTTCATACAAATCTTTTAATCCAATTTAGATTCAACCTTACACTCAAGCTTTGAACTTTATCTTCAGTGGTTTGTTCAACTGTATCTCTGGTGTCCTTGAGTCGAATTGCATTACTGGGTGCTTCCGTTTATATTTATACTCGTTTATCACGTAATAAGTATGTCGGTTGGCACTTGAGTTTATGTCAGTGAGAAAAACAGCTGTGTGGCATTACATAAATCCGCGGCACGCATGTTTGCATTTGAAAAGCACTGGGGAATTAGGATTCGATTAATATTTTGAGGCTAGATGATAATTCATTGATAACCATTAATTCGTGCATTATTTGGACATTTGTTGGGAGAAAGCTAATAGCTATGCAGAAAGAAAAGATTCTTTTGTAGACCGGAAAAATGCTGTTGGGAAAATCGGATCACAATTATGAAACAATAAAACTATGTTGTTAATTACCTTCTGGAAAAAAAAACCGGATCTTTCTCGGTGATTTCTCCTTTCACTAGAGTTTCAATTGATAATTAGCTTTACCGCGGAGATGCATCAAACTCATCGCTATTTCATCAAATAATTATTAATTGCATTAATTTTTTCGTAATTTATATAAAAAAATATAGGAGATTAATAAGAGAGTTGTAAGAGAAAAATAATCCTGTCCAAAGTGAAGACTCTCCTCCAATACTTTCCATTCTTTCAGTCCTTGTAAGAACAAATTAAATGCCTCGGGTCTATTTAAAAAATGTACTTTCACTCTTGACAAATTTACGTCAATCAAGGCGTGAAACTCCACGATTCAAATCAAACTATTTTTTATTTTTTCAATAATTTTATTTGATCAGAAAATGCTTTATTAAAAAAACATACATCCGGTATTTGAAAATTTAATTTGATGGTCGATCAATTTCATTTTCATCGGTGAATTTTTATTTTACGAGGAAAGTATCGAATTCATGAAATTCATGAGGTGATATCAAAAAATTTCATGACAAACAGATTAATTTCAGAGTTCTCCATCATCGCATTTTTTATTCGTTTTTTTTTTTAATTCGGGAAGTGCGAGATAATATGGGCAATGAACTTTAATCAACTCAATCAATTTAACCTTAATGAATTAATTAGTTTCTTCAAATATAGAAACATGTCGAGATACTACGATTCGATTTGATAGACATCAGTCATCACAAGGAATATTTTCCCACCCAAAAAAATAGGATTCAGTCGAGTAGTTTTTGAGATTTGAAATTAAAAAGATTTTTCGAGAAATTGGTAGATCTCTAAAAATGTTTCAAGCTTCCAAGATTCGGCAAAATTTCAAACGCATGTCCATATTACCCCAGACCGTCCTCGAAGGATGAAAATTAGAAGCCCCTAAAACGGTACATTAAAATGATATATTTTTACTTTGCCATGGTTGTGGGAAGAAGAAGCCTTAGATGTTAACTCATCGAAAGCATGCGTGGAGGTTCTCCAATCATGCGAAAAGTGGACTCCGTTATAGAAGATCAGATGAATGTGCTGTATGATATTGAGGTCGTGAGTCCGAAGCTGTAAACCCGATCTCAAAGATTGTGTAATGATTGCCAAAGGGAGATGGCCCTCATAAATCCCAAGAGTTCAATAAATCTTCTGATTCTAATCAAATTCTCTCCCATTATCTCCGCTTCTCGTTTAATTTTTGTTTTTTCGTGTACCGCTATTGACACGGACTCATACACTTCTCCTTTTGGTATATATCCTATAAAAAAAAACCGGTCTCGATATATCAGACCGAGGTCGCGGCTTCTCCAGACGAGATTCGTACCTTGACCACTAACTTACTTTTTTTTTTTTATATAGTTCTTTATTTTTCTTCACCATTGTTCCGTTAGAACTGGTGCACTTGAAATTCTTTCTTCACTTTGAAATATTAAAATAATGATAACGTAGTGTATGGAACTGATAAGATAAGGAAATGGCGATTAATTGCGCAAAAGAATGAAGTGAACCTAAGGAACAGGTTGTTGGGAAATTTTTCAAGTGCCTTGAGACTTTTTTTTGTTGATGTTTCTCACATGATTGATTCCATTGTTTTTATTTTCTTTGTTATTTCCAGGGTTGACTGAGAGGTGGGAAAATCTGTCCCACAAAGCCGAAGAGGCACAACGGGCTGGTGTCCTTCAAAGAGAATTGGCCGCTATGCATTTGGAGTTTAGAGAAGCTTATGAGAGGCTCATTTCGCATGAGATTATTCTCGAGCCGGATCACGAGCTCGCTCAGCGTATCAATCAAATCACGGTGAGTCAATACGTATTATTAATTCACCCAAGAGATCGACGGACTGATCATTCCTTATGAATTGGATGGAAATGATAAGTCAATCGGTCTCCCATACGATATCTAACTATAAACACCTGCCTACTGACTCCTAATTTCTTCATAATTACATTATTGTATCACTTGATGACATTATCTGATAATCTGCGACACAACGCAATATTAGAATAGGAATCCTTTTCGAATTGACTGCAATATTTCACAATTTCTGTATTACCTACAGCGTAAGCCCTACCTTATCAACTGTTGCATCATTACCTACAACTCATAAAACAATGCCCTTCATTATCAACACTAAAAAATCAAAAATTATTAATTGGAAAGCGTCGACGAATATTATAGATTAATCTCACACGATTGGGCAAAAATGGAATTTTTCTATTCTGAAAAAAAAATATTGAAAATCCGAATTTTCGGTTTATGCAATTAATTTGGGTATTAATCGTAAATAGGTGAATAGATGATAATGTAAATTTTTTTTTTGGTCTAAAATTTGAGATAAAAAAAATGATTTTGAAGAATGGATGAGGGATATTGTAGGCATAGGGCTGGAAGGGAGGCAAATACTGAAGTAAAAGCGTAGTCGTGTCGCACGTACGATCGTCGACGTACGACGTGCCCTGCATGAGGAAAACTCACTGGAGAGGAAACCAACCCCCGGGGATGGTGGTATAACGCACTTGGTGGCTCCTACACTTCCACCGACTGTTGGCCCTCTGCATCGAGCCCACAATACCCTTTGGGCCATCCTCATTGCTCAGACCAAACACATGCTCCCTATCTATCATCAAGATGTATTAGCCCTCAACATTTGCTGTGCTGTACTCGTCTCACTTCTGCATTATGCACGAAGTAGACGAGTAGTACCTGCTTTCAGCGACGTGGAGCATTGCAATTCGGCCAAGTCAAGAGAACAATACTTTACAAATTTCCCAACCGACATCGATTTTTCTTTTTCATTTTCATTCATAAACATTTTTAACACACAAGTTTGACGATTGTTCTTTTATATGAATTTATATGACAATCTTGGAAACTAAATTCCACAAAATGATATCTTCACATGGATACTAATATTTCATGTTCTACAATACGCGATGAAATGGACAATGGATAGGAAAAAAAAATGATAAGAATAGAGTTGCGAATCACATAATGTATTATGCATTCGTAAACACGCGTTGCTGATAGGGCTCAGACGTTTTTGCATTCAGGATGGGTGGATGGTGGTTAGAAAGAAGGAAGAGCGACAGATGATGAAAAAGATATGAGGGAAACACTGGTGCGAGATTATGTTGTATTGCTGTTGCGGATAAACCATACTAATGTACCTTCAGCATTTATTGTCGTCACATTGTTGTCGAACGTGCTTTAACTTGAAAAATTACTAAATCTGTTTAACATTCATTCTCTTCTGACTTTCCTCTTGTCTTATCACCGATGAGCCGTATCAACAGCACATAATAATCTTGATTCGATTTTAAAGTCTTGGAGAATAAACTTTCATGGAATAATCCAAGTCTTTTTGAGTCATTTATTTGTTTATTGTTATATAATATTCAAAAAAATGCAATCAAATGAGTAATGACATGCAAAATGGCATGGGCTCAAGTAAATTCATTGAATTGATAAAAAAAAATCTACTCTGCATCCTGCATATGTAAATGGCTTCACGTCCGGGTTTTCAAGTTTAAAATGGAATTTTTTAATGAAAAAACAATTTTTATTATTAGTCGGAAAGCTTGAGCATTGCTGTGCCACCGTCTCGCCTCATGAGCATTCATGTCTCGACATCGAAGCGGTTGTTCTGTATATACCGAATTCGAATCAATTGATTGGCTGTTGATTGGAAATTGAATTAGATCGGAATGCGCGTGTCTCTCTTTGTGGGAAAGGGGATTGTGGAAAGGAGGGAAAAGAGAGAAAGGCAAAACGTAGTAGTGTACCATTGTCGACTGCTTCTGGCATTGGCAGTGTGACTTGAATACAAATTCCAGCCATTTTTGCCAACCCGAGGGGGAAGAAATGTCTGTCGTTCGACTTCCGCTCTTCTGGCGTGTCATCTGATTGTTCATAGTCCCACAAAGTGTTTTTCCAAATTTTATAAATTTCTTTCGCCTTTATATTTTTAAGATTCAAAACTGAGAAATTGCAATAAGTCTTGTTGTCAATACTTTCGCCGGAATTATTGAGAGATTGATGCAAGTATGTTACATTCACTTTTCATGACTTAGCACTGTAGCATGACTTGTTGGATCTAGCTTTGGTCAACTCAACTCAACTCAACTTGAACTACTCATTGAAGCCTCGAATAAAGATAGATAGAAAGATAGAGATTTTACTAAAAGGAAAACTAATTTAAAAAATGTATTAAATGGTTTGTCTCATTTGGATGATGTCAAACATTGACACTTGGTTACATTTAAATGTTGACCCAAGCTTGCATCAATCGTCAGAGCCAGCGTTATCTCAGGCAGTTAGCGATGAATCAATTTCGATCCAAACTTCTTTCATTTGTCGAAATTAATGTATTGATAATTGATCTAATCTCTGTGACATGATGATAAAAGACATGAGTAGATTTTAATGGGAAAATGCAGTTTGAGATTTTCGACCTTGCGTCGAACACCTGTCGTCAATTAGTAGTCTTGGGTTAGCGGTAATAACCGTATCAAAACGAGGACATAAACGTGTCCTACGAAGTTTACATCCTCGGTTTGCTCACGAATGTGTAGAACAGGAGAAGAGAATGGGGAGGGCCACCGGTTGGATGGTAAGGGATGTAAGTGGTTGGTTGGGCGCGGAACTGCGATGGAGTAACCGCGTCACGTTGTCACGTCTCCGTCGTCCTACTTGAAGCGACCGACCGCCACCGCATAAATAACCCCTCTTTCCAACCCCCCTGTTTACGACATTGCACCACACCATGTAAGAGGACCCGTGTACCAAACCCTTCCGTGACCAGCGACCAATGCCACTTTTCATCATAAAACATCCTGCGACACTCATCATCTTCACCTAGCTAAATTCACTAATTCTCCCCTAGTTCTATGATCAGCCTCACCTCTGATTCTGGTTTCGATGATTTGGGTGATAATTATTCTATAAGCATTAGATCATCTTGCAATATAGCAATCAAATGAATAATATACAAACCAGAATTATCATTAAGAAAAATCCTCTTTTTGCCTTAACCAATACGTTTTTAGCATTTTGTTGGATAAAACCACAGAGTTCGTACATTTTATCATCTAAACGGCCATCAATTCACCCTCGGTTGAACATTTTTTTAGGAGGAGTATGGGTGTGCGATTCATTTGAGTTAAGTTGCGGGAACGAGGCAGTAAAAATGTATATTTGATGTTACAGAGTGAGCTTGCTACACTGAGGGAACGCAAAAGCGCAATGCTAGCGCTCAATGTATCAGCACACCGGTTGATCACGGATCTGGGGCCAGCTGCCACCTCAGTCTCTGTATCTCTCAAAGATGCTGTTGCTGATTTGTACAGAGTGTGGGATGAAGCATTTCAAAGGTAAATATTTAAAGAGCTGTAAAGTCTAGAAAGTTCAAATCCATATTTTTAAAAAAATGCCATCGAAGGTCGGATAATGTCGGTTGTTGGACAACGTCTTTTGAATTTTCAATTGAAAACAGTAGCTAACCGGCGCAGTGGTTAAGATCGTGGCCTTACAACGGATAGGTTCCAGGTTCGATTCATAAGCAGCTTTAAAAAGTTCTGATCAATCGCCCCATACTCTCATCCGACTCGAAGCGATGTAAAATAAGCATTTAAAAAAAAAAGTGATTTCGATTCTCTGTTGAATCGAATTTTTCAACAGGCACCGATGAGCGGGAGGTTGGTAATAGAGTAACTGCCTGTATCGACATGGTTTTTCCTGTGGTTTCCCATGTCAGTCCTATGTTCTATAGGAGAGTGAATACGGTACAGTATAGGATTCACAGCTGCATGCATAGGGTGAGATAGGGTGAAAAAGGGCCGGAATATAAAATGATAAGTGATTGGAATAGACCCTCGAAAATATACATCTCAAAACTGAAATCTGACAAATTAGTCTATTTTGATGGGGAAAAATCAGCCTTTATAGTAAAAATTAAGTTCAGAGACGTAATTTAGGAGAATGAAAATGTCAATTGGTGAAAGGTGAAATAGCTCGGGGACATAGTGGGTTCATTGGGCAGCGGTTGACGTTGGCCAAATATTGTGGGAGGTAATGAAGCCTCCAATGCAAACAGAGAGTGAGAAAAAGGGAAAAAGGCAAAAGGAAGATGGCGTGATACGTATAGGGGGATCTGGGCTTTCGAGACCCGTGTCACGGGATTACCCGGGATTTCCCTCGGATTCTGTCCTTTAATCGGACTTCCCCCTTCTATATACCCAACGGCGTGTCACTTACACTTCCAGTCTTAGCGACTTTCTACCCTATTTTACTCATTCTTCATTTGTTCAAAGATTTAATCATCAATCAAGATCAGAGAAAGAAACATTGAAAATAAATCCATTGATGACTGCTTCTAATTAATATCTTCTCTTTAATTATTTTAAGAAACTTTAAACTTCATTGTTTCTGTATGACTTATACAATGTGTAATATTACAGAATTTTTTTTTAAATAATCTTTCTTATATATCTTATATATAAATTAAAATAGTCATTGAGAGTAGGAGAATAAAAAGAATATTGTTTGATTATAAATATTCAATATTTGGGATTGGATATTTTGCGAATGAGCCAACACAGAAATCAGAGAGGAGATTTAAAGCTCGGGTCTTTGAGTCAGTGGTCAAGTCCCTCCTCTGACCATCCCATGGGAAATCCCTATCGGCGGTGGGGGATCATAGGATACGGTTTAGGAATTAAAATAGGGATTAATGAATTACAGGTGGGACTAATATTCTCTCTGGAATTCCATTAAATATTCACTCCTCTCTTTCATTTTATTGTCTCACAAAAAATAATATTATAAAGAATTATATCAGTTGGGAGTTTACCCCAAGATTCGAATATTTTTAATGGATTTGATATAATTAGTAAAATGAATTTTCAACTAATTATTGGCGAAGAAAAAAAATATTTAGCAAGGTAGAGTCAGCCATTTTAAAAGCCATAATGTCCGAGGTAAAAGCGTCAAGAAACGTCGAGTTTACAACCGCGAGGTATGTCATATAATAAAACAGACTGTCCAGTTTTCATTACCCCATGAAGCATTAACGATCGTCTTCTGGGCATCAGATCACCCTCTCATTCCTATCTCCCTTACGTTATTTATTTATCCATTTTTTTCCCCGAATGTTGGAAGGTTTGTATTGATGGAGCGTGTAGAAAAAAGGGGGTTTGCCAATCAGATCGATACATCGAGATTGCACTTGAACACGGTAAAATGTTATTCTTCGCCCTGGGGTCCCAGGGGTGAACGAATTCTAGTAATAATTTGGAAGGAGAGTATTTACAAAAAGGCTTGGGGGTCGACGGGTCGCGATTAATCTCCCTACCTATCCAGAAATGGAAATATTTTCCTGCTAGAAATATTCCGGGTGAAAAAAATTGTAATCGAAAGGGTTTTTTCCAAATTTTCAAAAAATTTCTGGAAAAATTTTCAGAAATTAAAAAAAAAAATCGGGAAGCAAAACAAGTGCTTTGAAAAAATTTTCAAAACCTTTCCCAAAAATAAATTTTCTTTCTTTTCCGATCTCTTTTGTTTCAAAAAAAAAATATTCTGACAAGTTTTCCAGAAATTTTTTATAATTTTTTTTACCCGACATTGCAATTCTTTAAATTGAAGTTCTTCATATTTTTTTATTATTTAGAAAATTTGCATAATTGTGAAAAGTGTGTGTTATAAGATGAATGAGAAATTCAGTGATCATTTCTAATTGAAATTTAATTGTTTTTTTTTTAGGGGAAACCAGCAATTATGTGCCCTCCAGGCTGTTCAACAATTCAGTGCGCGTCTGACAGAACTCCAGAATGCACTTCAAAGGGACAAAGATACTCTGGCAGTTCTGGACGCAGCTCTGCAAGCTGGTGCCACCTCCGAAGTGGCATCTTCGGTTCGAGACGTCGCCAGACTGCTCTCGGAAAAGCAGGATGTGAACTCGCAGGTAAATTCACCGCCATACATTGAAAATTTTTGCATGCATAACTGACAATTGCTCATTATAGATCGAATCATTCAACGGAAATTGAATGAATTTTTAAAAGACACATAGAAGATACATTCAGAAATTAGTCACTGAATCAGGATGAAAGGAGGAAATGAGAAAATATCGGTTTCCATCGGAAATTAGTCTTCATATAATTCGAGATGTTTTAGTCCCACTTCTGATGATGAAGGCAAATCAATGAAGAACTAAATAAAAAATACTAATGGCAACGAAATATAAATTTTTAACTTGTTATTGGTGAAATAGTGAATTAGTAGTGTTGAAGAAATTGATTGTTAAATAATTAGCATGCAAGGTGGCAAGGCATCGGGGAAAATGATGGTTCTGTCAAATTGGTCACAGTCTTCAAAGAAGTCGTTTCCCCTCCTGTACCTTCTCGGCAAGAAAAATCATTTTTTTTTCTTGAGAATTCTTTGGGAGTGGATTTGCATATAAAGTAAAACTCTTACCCTACGAGTTGGTTTCTCATCGTGGGACTTTTCCAATCGGCCCTCTTCTCGCACTCATTTTCCACGTCAGGGAGACATACTGCTTTACTTGACTAAACCAAGATACTCTCGTACTCCTTTTTACATACTCCTTCTGCGCTTCTCTTTCTTGTTTCTCTTTGTCACTCGGCATGCGCCACGACGTGATCCCTCTGCTCATATAAAAGAAATAAGCCGATACTCTATGCTCCTAAGGAGACACACCACTTCTTCTTCGGATCTCCTCGTTGGAGCTACGACTCCCTCGAGAATCATTTCGGATATTCTGCATTGCCATTCCCCCACTTCTATTTCAAAATCATGTTTTTCCTTTTTTCTCTCTAACGTCCTACATTCCGCAACTAGCTTTCAGAGTAACTGATTTTCCTTGATTTTTTTACATCTATTAGACCGGGTAAAAAAAAAAATTTTGAAAATTTGGAAAAAATATTCCGTTTATAATTCCATTATTAAACATTTTCTCCCTATGATTTCTATGAGTGAAAAAAAATATTAGGTTTAAATTTAATAATAATCGGAAACAATAAAATTGGTAATAATTATTATAATTGTCTTCGGGGTGGATTTCTAATTATTATTTCAAGTTAGAAGTTACAAAATCAATTGTAATAAAAGTATCGTAACTCGATGTAATCTCAATCCATTAATTTTCCCAGCGTTTTATTTTCCTCACGCTCTTTGTACGAGTGAAAATTGCAACGATTTAGCAAGAAAGATCCAAAGCAATGTATTAAAAGATGCATCCATAAGGGCGAGAGTCTAGTAGAAAACCGAAGAAAATGTCTCGTTGTGTGGCGACGGATACCCAGTGATATTAAATTTGTATTTTTACGCTGATTCCACGGGCCATTGGAGTACGTGAGACGAAAGAAAATCGTCCGGGCGATTAACGATCCAAGCCTCCCCAGGGAAAAACCGGCTCACCTTTTTCGGGGGGCTGGCGTCCACCAGAGAAAAAAAAATCCCCCATCTCTTTTCTACTGCCTTGACCCTTGTATCTGATATTTTATTTAGTATCTATCAATATGGAGGGATGCTGGATTATCGTGCCAACAATGCGCTTGATAACTCTCCACAATTTCTTGAAATTTCAACTTTCAACAATTCTTTGTTCACCAATATTTTATAATTAAAACTCATGTAATGTATTATAATGGGTGAGAGATATTTTTTGTTGTTGAAAGGAAAAGTAATGAAGTTGAAAAAACGTCAACTCTCTTTGAAGTGAAATTTTCACTGGACATTATTTTCATTGGACACAGATTGATATTCAGTTTCCAATGTACCTCCAGGATAAATTGAGAAAGTAATCGAAGGAAGCAGTAAAATTGGTAGAATTGCATTGCCTTATATGATCGGAAAAAGTGAAGAAAAAGTGGTGGAGGAATTTCTCCTGTTGTTTGAAATGGTTGAAACTATTTGGATTGCACTATTTGTGAAAAATAAAAAGATCTTCAGGAGGATGACGTAGATTGTGATATTTTGATTATTGATGTTTAAAATGAAAGGAAAAATTTGATCAAGTAAAGTTTGAAGTTGAGGTCGCTTGGTGTTTGACCCCTTGAGTACTTCTACAACGGCACACCTAACACGACTAGACTAGGTTGATACTTGGGAATCGGAGAGAGACTACTTGGTATGCGGATCGCGCTTTTCATTACCGGAGGCTCGTTCCCCGTCGTCTCTGGCGCTCTAGCTGCAAACAGCCTAAATCTACTCTCGCTTCTTGGTTTCCCTTGGTTTCCCTGAGGTTCCCTTTTGCCTCCGTCTGAGTTCCTTGACTACCAAGGAACACACCACTACCACCATCACCATCACCACTCCTCCAGGGCTTTCCCTCTTTCCCTTTTCCTCTCTTCTTTCTCTTTACCCGGGATTTCCGTTGAATCTATATCCTTGCCTTTGCTCTCCTTGGCTTAGACTCTCACTGGATTATACAGTATTCAAAAAACACAAGCCAAATTCATTTTACACTACACTGACAAAACAAATTGTTTTTACCCAATGTTCATGCACTTTGGAGAAGTATTTACTTCTTTAATACTTTTGTTTCCCCTCGTCATTTTGGGAATTCTTCTAAGCGTTTATTTATTTCTATTATGTTAGGATTACGAAACCTATCATCACTCGCAAATCATCACCCGATTTTTTAATGATTTGTGACACATTGATTGATAAATCGAATTTTTTAATTTTCAGAATACGATAAAAGATGAAACGCTGATGGAGGGTGTGACGAAGAAATTCCCTGAGCCTGGTGTAATGAGTCTCGGTCAAGAAGGTGGGACATTCTCAGACAGTGGTATATCAGACAGTGGAAGTGAACAAGAGTTGAGTGAACGTGAGCGTAGACTTGCTGCACTGCGTCGACTGACTCGTACCCTGGAGAGTCAACTAGCTCCTGGTTCTGATGCACTACTGGAGCTCTGGAAGAGAGTGGAAGATGCTGAGGCTGAATTGAGGAGCCTTCAGAAGCAGTGTCGAGAGCTGATTGTCAGAACTGCTGCAAGTGTAGACGCCAAAGTCGCTAATAGGAATACCCAGACCAAATTTCCACCAAGGTAAATACTCCCAGCAAATAAATAAATAAATAAAATTAATACGCGCCGGAAAATGCGTCTTCAGTCGCAGATTATTAATCTGTAATTTTTTAATAGTCTTTTAATAGTCTTTTTTTTCATAAGTATAAATAAAGTGTCATTTTTTGAAGTGGTCGTCTGGCAATTTGCATAACGTTGAAATGAGGAGTTGAGAGAGGCTATTTAGCCCCCTAAGTGTGTAGCTAAAAGAAAGTAAGAGATGGGGAGTTAAAAGTCAGTTCATAACGTCGCCTCTATAACGAGCTCTATAGCTCTTGCTCTTTCATTTGAATATAAGGTGTTAGTGGGTGGAAGGAAGAAGGAAAATTTCTCAGAGTGTGAACAATAAGTACGTTTGAACAGAGTAGAACACTAAGGAAATGAATTATAGGATTTCATAAGCACCTTCTATCCCCCGTTTGGTGCGCATGACACCCTTCTACAAATTCTCTCACTCCTTAATATAACTTTGAGGAATTTCCCTGGGCTCACATGTTGGCCTCACATATATATCATACCTCATCAATTCTATATTTACTCGTAAATTCTCACGTTCTTAATCTACCATTTTTTATTTTCTCCTTCTTTACCATACGTTTTTTTTTCCATTTTAATTATTATATTTTTTACGCTGACAACGTGAAACCTCACGTTCTCTCTAGATGAAATTATTCCCCAATTTTCACCATCTCAATCACCTCATTTAACTTTGTTTCGAGGAGTATCATCACCCCTTCTTTTTTTATAGTTTCGTTTAATCACTGGCCGGTCGACTCGGGGGTAATAGGTTTAGTTGTTGGGATCACGCAAAAGCAACCCTGGTATTGCGTCGTAAAAAAAAAGTTGTAAAAACTCTCTTACGCGTCTTCGCGGCTTTTCGACGGCTTTTCGACGGAATTTTTTTTTCAGCCGTGTCGTTTTATTCTGTTGAGGAATAAAAATGTCTACGACTTTTTCTTTATTCGCCGTGAATTCAATAATTCTTTTTCAACCGATAATTTGCGATAGAATAATTAGGTAAAATACAATATTCCGTTTGAAAATAATGGAAATATTGATTTATTATTTTCAGTAAACGTAAGAAAAGACTGGCGTCAACGAGCAGCGATTTCCTTGACAAGTCAAAACAGGCAGTGGCAGAAGATGATCCTGAAGATGATCCAAACATGCCAAAGAGTTGGGTCTGGAGAATCCTCAGAGCAGCTTTGCCTTTTCAATTGGCGATCGTAGCACTTTTTTGTGCTGCCTGTCTTCTGGAGCCACACTGCTGTGAGGCTGGAAACAGTCTGAATTTATCTCTGACACCCCAGCTTCGTTACGTCCGAGGACCACCTCCAGTCTAAGAGCAATATCTAAATGAGAGCTCAAGGATCGAGAAGATTCTATAATTTTCGGTTAATCCAAAATATCAACGACATCAGGTCTTGATAGGTAGTATTTGAAATGATACGTTGAGTATCGAGTAATTATTTTTTTTCTCAATTGTCGACTTGAAGACATGAGGTAAGTGAATATGTCCTGTTTACGTGAATTTTTATACAATCACACGTGCAAAGACTAAACTTTTATAATAACCCGAGACTGAACGTAACAGGGTTTATGTGTATCTCAAAAGAGAATATTAATATTCATTATTAATATAAATATTTTTCACATTTTATAAATGTACATAGAAAAAAATAATGCATGGATGATCAAAATTATTTTCGTACTCATATTTTCCAGTAATCGTAAATTCGACCAGAGAATCAATTTATAGATTTTTCGGCTGAAATTTGAGAATGCCTTTTTATATATTTTCTATAGGAGTGTGCCAATAATTCGTGAAGGCTAGTATATGAGTAAACTTCACGTTCGCCTGACGGCCATTTATCTCACCTTTTTTTATCCATTTTTATTTGTTAGAATTACAGAGTTTTTACGTTATGTTGCATGCTGTATGATAAATCAGGAGTTCCCTGATGTCTTAAAGTATTTTTCAATATCAGATCAATGATTTTTACTGGAAGAAGAAATAAAAATATTATGCGAGAGTGTTTTAATATCATTATTTATACTATAGGTATGGAAAAATTGTATGTATATATATAACTTTCAAGAGAAATATGGGAAAACGATGGAGAATGTTGTACTCTCGAAGATGTATTGCTTTAACAATTTAAAAAATCACTTTTTATTCAGAATCACTACCAAGTGCCCAGTAAAAACGTCCAATATTTAGTATCCCATAATATTTATAATATTATGATTCTTTCATGTGACTAGTCATTGGACAATGGACATAATCAAGTTATTGTCCCAGTTATTTTTTTTTGTAAATGTCAAATGTATTGAAGTGCCTTGGGGATGGAAATTGAGGAAAAGGTCAAATTAATGCTTGATAAGGAGATAAGTTTTTTGCAAGAATAACATTTGTTTTGTGACGATGGATAAGATATTTCTTTTGTCTATTGAACAAATTCAATAAAAAATATTCCGTTCAATAAATTTTCAATTTTCCGGTGTACAGGACTTAAAACTGGAAAATTTCTTGCAAAGCCTGAGACACAATTAAGACTCGAGAAAAATAAAGTCCTAGATTCCTTTGAGACTTGACGAAGTGATTTGAAGAAGTATCAAGTATTAATTTTTTTCAAGTTATTCAATTTATTTCCAAAGAATTAAAAATTTCATTGAATTCCAAACGCGTCTCTGAAAGAAATCATTTCGACTTATCTCCTTATTCAGTAAAACTTGTGAGAATTAGAGGTGAGGAGAATTTGTCCTTTGGCTATCACCTGTATCAATAGAATGTACAGTGGAGATCCTCCAATATTTTTTATTTACTCGAGGACATCTCTTAGAAATTTACGAGACAAAGTGGGAAGACGAGCACTGCAAAATGGGAAAAGCAGTATGTTTTATTTGAAGATATGAGTAATCAAATAAAGTTCGTGCGTCATTAGCATGAAATAGACTTGATGGGGAGAGCTTTCAGTATGAAAAAAGAGAGCAGCTTCCAGCGTAAGATAGAGTCCAGTACTTATGCATGAATATAAATGAAACGATAATAACTTAATACCGTGATAAGACAACTAAAAGAAGAGCAGTGAGATGAAAAATGGAGAATATGTAGACGTTGGCATAAAGAGGGACTGTCCATTCGTTGTTACACCAATTTGAAATAATATTGCATTATTATTTTGAATATCGGTGGAGAAGAAATATGATGTGGACGCAGTGGTCTCTTCTCAAACTGACGTCTACATATGATTCGTGTCGATGCGAAACTTGATGGAATAAACAGTGCCTGAAAAATAGATTCCCCAGCCCGAACACGAGGAACATATTTTAAAGAATATTTGACATTCTAGACAGCCTTAGTACATTATCATGCAAAATACATTGCATTTACTTGGGGAATATTAAACTGAGAACTAGGATGTTTTGGCGTTCTACCGCCTTACATTAACATCATGATAATGTGTATAAAGTACCTGAACATAAACATACTATTCATCCATATTATAATTGTTCAATAATATTGGATTAATTATAATATATGTACTCTAATTTGAATGAAACGTTTGTAATGAGCTTTTTTAAAATGTATTTTAACGTCAGCTGACGGTTAATGCTCTATAATATTTTGCATGCATTTTTCTCTTTCAAACGGGTGACAAAATGAATGAAAAAAAAAATGAAAAATAAAAAAATATCACCTATATATGATTATTAGGGAATAATCTACCTTAGGATGAAGAGATTTGCATTGTAAAATTTTTTAAACTCAGCCTATGTATCGATCGAAAGCACCATTGTAGCTTCTATTATAGGAGATAATCTCATTTTCATTTTGAGGATGGTGAGAAGCTGATTTTTTATAAATTCTATCTGAGATCTTATTGACTCAATCATAAATGAGGAGGCGCAGTTGCTCAAGGCACGCCCCATGGGGATTCGATCCGACTTTTAGGAGTTTCCAAAAATTATAATTCATGAATTTCACTCATCATTCGATGTATTTGTAACGTTTCATCCATCAATCTAACACAGTTCTGTACTAACAAATGTACTGGATAAGTATGGCTATCGAATACGCATTGTACTTCGGCATTTTCTGGAAATAAAGGAAAATAATTTTTTTTTTTTTGGAATTAATTGTGTTTTTATTTATCATGGTGTTTGATAAATCCAATTGAACCACAGGATCAAAGTGAGATGGACCTTTGAGAAATCTATTGACGACGGCGGAAATTGCGGAAGGTATGATTGATAATTTGACTACCATCCCCTTTTATTTATGTTTTTATAGCGTTCGACATTTTTGTGACGTCAAAGAAGTCGAACATGATAATTCTCGATATAATTTTTACAAGAAAAATTACTGAAAAAATGGATAGCCCAGACGAGGGTTTATATAGATATAAATAAAAGCTGAAATAAAAGCCGAAGGGGGAATATGGCAATGTAGAAATGGCAAGTACTTAACGCCGAAGTACTTTGACTTGGAGGAAAGGAGGGACGCAATGCACTAATGCCGACAATTGAGGCCCCGAGGATAATGATTCCTCGGCTCGATTGATACATAGGGTAGGCCCCATGATTGGCGGTATTCAACCAATCCCCATTCTCTCTCTCTCTTTCCTCTTGACTCTCTCAAGTCGAGAGAGTCCGCTGTATATCCACAGGTTCAAGGGTCAATCTTGCCATGTTATTACGACTCACACCTGTAGTCCCGTGCCTTGATCCACACCGAATTATTTTCCGTCGAGAAATCCACTTAACCGCACTCACAACGTCCACCTCTCTTCCTCTATTTTTTTTCCCCTTCATTGCCCATCGGTAAAATGCGGGTTATCCCTTTGCAGTCGGACTCATTACGACCCAGGAAAATTAGCTATGGAATGTATATGCAATTTTATTAAAGTAGTAATGTAAGAGTTCTCTTGCTAACTCAGTGCCTCATTTTTTCGCAATCATACCACAGGCTCATTTATTTGCAATTGGACGAAAAAGTTCATCAAGTTTAGAGTTCAGTAATTTTCAATCTCCAAGCAGCGAAACATTGCATGCACAAGTTTCCAACTAGTTCGCACTAGATTCGTGAATTTGTCACGTTAAGATGCTACCTGACCGATAGTGCGAAAATTCCAATCTAATGGCAAAAGTTTTAATGCCACTAATTCGTAATTTATTTGAAACGCTTTTGGTCTGGAGGAATGGCGGAGAGGAGGAGAGACTCAGATGCAGAGAGTTTGGTGGAATAAACGAGGGAAGACGGAGGATCCTCGAGGAAAAGAGAAGGAACATTATTTTTATAGGAAGCAGGAGTCGAGGCAAATGGTCTGTGGCGCTCCTGATGACTCCCCGAGGTCTGTTTTTACCCCTCTCCGTACGTCCAGCTGCGCTTTGACATGCCACTTCTTCGAGGAGAAGGGTTGAAAGAAGAAAGAGAGAAAATATAAATCAACGTGAGGGCATTTTGATTAAATTTTTTATTGCTCACTTTAAAACCCTTGACCCCCACCCCCCAGTTGATTTAGAGCAGTAAAAGTCTTGGCTTTTTTTTATCCCTTTCATTTGTCGCCCCTATCGCACATTTTCTGCCGACTTTTTCTCATTAAATCTCATTTATTTAGTTTCGTAATTCGTCATTATTATGTAGGGTACCGAGCTATCTTTGCGGCAATTTTGTAATTCCATCGTGAAGAACATGTTTTTGTTGCGGAATAAGTTCTCACGCTGGTGGAGGGTATGCGTCAAGTATGGGGGCTGTTTGGCTGCTTTTTGATGCAACTCTCAGTTATTCAGTTTTGGGACCAATGCTTCACTCGGTAGAATCGGTAATTAAATCAGTTGCGGCGTAAGTATCAAGGAAATTAACAGAAGATGATGGAATTATTTGGAACCCTATCCTGACAGGATTGCGGTCAGGCACTTCAGATCTGCACCTGATTGAAATCCCAAATCCGTATTTGTTCCTGAAGGTGGAGAACGTATTGCACATCTCGCCGCTGATGCACAACGTTTCTATTTCTACAAGGTTATTGAAAATATTTATAAATATCCGTTCCCTTTCGTCCATTGGTCTTGTCGATTTGCCAATATTTATGGTGTACCATAATAGCCTAGAGTCTACAATAATTATAAATATCATACCGACGTCAGTAGCTCAGTGGCTAGGTGCGAGCCTAGTGTTCTGAAAATTGTGAGTTCGATTCCCCGTTGTATGGAATTTTTTAACAGGCCAGAGCCAGAGCCAGAGGTTGCTAATAGAGAGACCCCCTGTACCGACATGGTTTTTCGTGTGGTTTCCCATGTTACTCCTATTTTCTATAGGAGAAGTGAATACGGTACAGTATAGGATCCACAGCCGCATGCATAGGGTGAGATAGGGCGAATTAACCAGAACAGGGCAGAAAGTGCCGAAATATTAACAGATGTACAACATTCAGTATAAATGCTTAGAAGTTACGAGTTATGTTTTTAATTCGCATGGGCGATCATCTTCCTGTAATTCGTTAGTCTTTTCTTGTGTTATTTGATGCGCCATTATTTTATATTATGCATGCATGCAACAATTCCGGGGCTTTACCGAAACTTGAGATTGTGATGGGCGTGTGTTATTATGAACCATGAATGGTCCTACCGATTTTTATTCTCTATAAAACAGTACATAAATGCAAATGATTGCCATTCAAGTCCTCTTATAGGCTATAATCGACCTCTTGTACGCTCATAGAACAATTCGATTATATAGTTACTGAAAGTTTAGCTGCCGTAAAACTTGGGTTGTGCTTTCATGATTAATGACAGTGACGATCATTTTTAGTGATATAAAAAAGGAAAAAAGATAAGTATAAAGAATTATTAATGATTTCGTATATTGATAGAAGGATTTAATGAATATTAAATTTAACAATGAATGCATTCAATTGGACTGATTCTTTCGAGAGAATTTCTTGGTATGTAAACAATAAATAAAATGACGTTCGGATTCAACAAGTGTCCTAAAAGTCAGTGAAGAGGTATGTAAAAGGTATAAAGGGGTAGGTGAGGGGTAGAAAGGTGTGATGGTTGAGAAGGGTGAAGCCTCCCTCGTACATTGGGAGGGCGTCTCATAGGAGTGAATATATATATAATAGGAGGCGGTCGATGAGTGCCTGGGGCGCGTCCCTCCCCCTTTCCCTCTCCCTCTTTCTTGGAATGATCACGTGGCCATGAGTAGCACTCGGTGGTAACTCCGCCCCCCGCGGATTCGACTGGTGTAGAACGCGTCTGCACTCTCATGGCCGTGTCAGCCTCTTCCTTTTCATCTGCACCTGCATCCCAGCTGAGGGTCCAACCTACCAAAACCATTTCCCCACCCTTTCGATAACTATCACGCTTCCCCACCATCACATCCCACTAGCCTGGGACTTGTCCTCATCTCGACGTTTACGTTTTCGCCACAACGTTCGAGCTTAGCACTCGTTTCGGTTCTTTGCCGCGAACTCGGTTCACAATATATCGTTTTAAAATGTTGACGCAACGCAATTACCGTTGAATTTCAAATGGTTAATATGATATTAAACAAGTGAATATTTAAATTGTGGTGTGGGGAGGATAAATTAAAAAGTGCTGGTGCTGAGTGAAAAATAATAGAATCTGTGAGTTGGTTTTTTTTTTTTCAAATTGTAGTTGTGCCTGTGGATTGTGGAGTTTTTGTTTAGGGGTTTTCTTATTTTTGAAAATTTCTTTTTGATAATCTGAGGATAATAAGATAAGCGTTGTGGAGGGGTGGTTGATGCATAGGAGCGGCGGGGTCGCCGGTGGCGGTGGTGGTGGTGCCGCCGCCGGACGCGGCCTCGAGCTCGATCATCCGCCGGCGATGCCTTCTGCTCCGGGATTCCATTGGGGTGCTATGATTGCTGGACATCATGCTGCCGCTGCTGCTGGTATCATGCAACCACCGCTCTCTGCTGGAGCTGATTATGGTATTCCTGGGGCGCATCACGGGGGTGGCCATCCCGCAATGCCCATGGACTTGCATGTACCACAGGGATTCCCCTGCTACAGGTTGGTTTATCTTTATGCAGGTGGCGTTCTTACAGCTTCGGTTTTTCCCCGATTTCGTTGCTCAATCCGCATTGTTGGATTTCGGCCTTTTCTCCCGCTAAAAGATTCACTCTTTCAATGTGTTTTTATTTTTTTTATTTCTTTCTCGGTGCGGCTTTTGTCCAAAATATATCTAGTGACCAGAGAGAGGTTAAGACAAGAAAGGGCAAGGGTTAAGGGTAGTGGGAGAGAAGTTTGATCTGGGCCTCACCAGTAACAGTCAGTTTGATGAAGTCTTTGTTCGGAAAAGTACCCCCTCACTGTCTATAGAGTCAGATATTATTATATGTTCGTGATAGTGTATTTTTTTCGAATTCATTGCGCAAAAAGAATATATACTTATTCTTCGCGTAAGGTGTATAATTATAAGAAGTTTATAAATCGAGGAATTAATAAAATTTGTATAGTCCTTCAACATTTCATTAATGACATTTCAAGGATACATTTCCGATATAAATTCTTTTAAAAATAGAAAAATTATCAATTTGAGAATGCAGAGTAAAGCGAAGTGTTTATTTTTCCATTATTAATGGAAAAGTTTTCTCACTCACGGAAATGACTATATTTACCTGATGAATGCCCATAATAATACACAACCCATGAGACGGTGATAAAAATGAAATTTCTCCGTGTTTGATAAATTCCCACTTAATAAATGACCTCTCAACATGATGGACGTCAAACTCGGATACACGAAAGGGTTTGTCAATGGGATTGTCAGATGTAGGTATCAGCGATATCCGAGGAAGATGAAGGAAGAGAGAGAGAGAGAGAGAGAGGGAGGGAGGGAGTGGACAAGAGAGAGATTGTGCAAGAAACCTATTATAATTCCTAGCTCGTCCGGGTTATTAGCATTCCGCTATCAATTATCCACGAGCCGCGTGTGTACGTCTCCCGAGCGCTGCACTGGGGCACGCGAGTCCGGCACGCCAAAGACCCACTCATTTCCTCCTCTTTTCTCTCTCTCTACCCCCTCTTTCTCTTGTTTATTCTACACTCCTTTCGTGGTTTGCTTTTGGTGAATCATTGAGTGAGGGCCAAGTCTTGTGTATCTCAT